CTTGTATTTCTTGAAACTTCATATATACCAATCATGTGAAATAATGGCATCTTTATCCCTGCGTTGGGGTGGTACACTGAAATCATTATTTTCTGTAAACATGGTGATGTTAGGTGACGTTGTGTGACTTTGCGATAATCATATATTAGGGACTGTGGCTATAATCATCTTTATTGAATTTCCTCCTCGCAATTTTTTGACTTGCTAATATTCTTTTCATTTATTGCGATATTTGTCATCCCTATAAGGGATTAGGATTGTCCAAATCGGACAAATTTTGGGGAGGACCTGCACATTTACATATAAATTTATAAAGAGAAAAATTCAAAATCGGGCAGAATTTGGTTTGGCTTGGCCTACAGTTATCTATGAATAAACATAAACGTGACAAATTAGTTTCTTATCGATAATAACAAATATCTGAAGATTTTCAGGGTATTAATTTATTACCCCATTGGTAAATCACGTGATACGTGATTGCTTATTACAATTGTAAAAAAAATATACTATTTTTTTTTTAAACTTACAATCAGGCTAGAATCATTTATTTATTAAATCATAGAACTATTATAAGTATGAATATACATGCAAATTATTGATTTTTTTAATCTAACTTACTTGTTAATAATATCAAAGTAGTATTATTAAAAGCTTTAGAAAAAATATTGATTTTCTATTATTGATTTTCTTTTAAGTTATATTTTTTGAAATTATTGTTTTATTCAATTAATAAATTGTTCAAGTTTTTTTTTTTAATTACGTATTTTTAAAATAAATATTATTACTTCAACCTGTTATTAGATTGGAATATAGCTTAAATCTTATAATTAATTTCAATTTTTTTTAAAAAATAAAATTAAATAAAAATAAAAATTAAAAAGATATTGCTTTTTTTTTATTTATAACTTTAACTTATACTTTTATATTCTTTTTTTAATTAAAAACTATTTAACTTTTTCAATTTATTTTTTATAATTAATATAATTAATTAATCTATAATTTTTATCAATTATCTTTCAAAGAATCTAATAATTAAAAATTCAAAATACAATTGAAATAAACAAAATTTTCAAAAAAAAAAAAAAGTATACTTGAAAAAAAAATTCTTAACTTTTTAAAAATCTTTGAAAAATATTTTTTCTTATTAATTTTCTTTTTAAAAAAATGTTTAACTAAATAAGTTTCTTATATTTAATTATAATAAATAAAAAAATTGTTTTTTAAAAAAACAAAAAACAAATAGTAATTGTTACTTATTCTATTAGTTAAAAAACCAATATTGTTAAAGAAAATATATAGATTTTATTATTATAAAAATATAAAAACTTTTGAAAATTTTTTTTTTTAAATTAATAAAAAATTAATAGAAAAAGTTTATATATTTTATTTTATATTAATTTATTTTATTTTATTTATTTTTATTTTATTTAATTTTATTAATATTATATACTTATTAAATATCAAAAAAACCAATGAATAAAGAAATATTGAAACCATTATACAAGTCTATCAAGCTTATTATTCCTGTTTATAATTAACTAAAAGAAAAAAAAAAGTTTACTTATTAAAAAAAAAAAATAATATTTAAAATATTTTTTATAATTATTATATATCTTTTAATAATATACTTTTAAGACATTTAAAAAAAGATATTAAAATTAAATATAGTTAAAAAAAAAAAATTCCAAAAAATTATTCTAATAATTAATATTTCTAAATTATTTTTTATTACTATAATTAACTATACTATTTAATTTTTTTCAAGATTTTTATTAATTATTTCTCTTTCAAACTATAAACTTCTAAAATTATTGTTTCTTTTAATTAATAATTAATTTTAAGATTTTTTTTTTTTAACTATTTTTAAAATAAATAAATAGATTTTTGAATTCTTATTAGATTAAAATAAATTTTTTTTTTTTGAAATATCAATATAGTTTTTAATATATTCTTTAAATATTTTATATATTATAACAGATATTAAATTATATTAAAAAAAATAATACTTTTAAATATAATTTTAATTTTGAATTATTTAACTTTAATTAATTAACTAATTTTATTATTAGTTTTAATATTGTATAAAAAAAATCATATAAGAAAAATATATCTTGTTTATATTTTTGCTATTAAAAAATCAATTAATTTAAAAATTTTAACCAATTATTATCTGAGAATTCTAATATAATTAAAAATTTTAAGTTTAAACTAAAACAAAATTTTTTAAAAAATTTCAAAAAAATTATGTTAGAAAAAAAGTCTTAATAGATATAAAAACAATAATATTGAGATTTAAACCTTGTGAAAAAAGTTTTCTGAACTTTAGATCTCTAATAAAATATTTGAAAATATTTTTTTTTATGATTTTCATCCTAAAAAAAGTTTTTTTGCTATAGACTTTATAGATATATTTTGTATAGTTTTTTTGAAAAGAAAATAAAATAAGAAGAGAAAAAAAAATTGCTTTAAAAATTAAGTTTATTTAATAAAGTTTTTTAAAATATATTATTAAAAAATATTATTAAAATTGATATTTTAAGATTTAAAAATTTTTTAAAACATATTTTTCAAAAATAAAAAATATAGTATAATAATAAAATATTGATGTTTTTTTACAAGCTACAAAATTTTTTTTATTTTTTAATACAATATATATATAAATATATAACTTTATAATACAATATTTTTAAAAAAATGACTGTAGTGATAAACTGTAGGTAATGACCTTTAATTTCAAATTCTATAAGCAAATAAATGGTAAAGAAAGCAACCTTTTTCATCTCCAAAGTCACGCCTAAAAACATAATTTAAAATGAATAAGCACGACTGTATAAAACTTTAATTTTTACATCTGTTTTAAAATTGCATAATTGACCAATCAAATTCATGGTGCTCGCGTTTACTCTTCAAGACGTCTATCATGAATGGCAACAAAGAATCGTCAAAGTAATTATTTTCGTGTATTAATCTGCCTCGTTTCTTCAAGTTTCTCTTCCTTAACATTAGAAATTTTTTGTGCGGCTTTCACCTCGACCTTTTCCGCACCACCAAAAAATAGAGAGAAATCTGAAATAGAAAAATTAAGAGATAAATGTACGTGTTTTCATTTCCTTATTACTTACATTACGGAATTTGATAGAACAAAAAATTTTTTTTTTCATGCTTAAAAAAGTTCAAAGTCTCTTAAAAGAACGCGATGAATTGAAACAAATTCTTGAGATTGAGGAAAATTCAAAGAATTTACGCGAAATCGTTTATGAGAAGGATGCAGAAATATCGTCAATTAATCACGATGAATTCCAAGAGGAGGTAAATGTTTGATTTTTTTTTTTTTCCTGCATCAGATCTGCGAATAATATGATATCTGTATTCGGTTATCTAGATAGTTCAACAGATGGTGCAAATCAGTAATCAACGTGAATATGAGGAATTTTTGAAGGCCTATCGACTTATTGGCAGGACGATTTTCCCTACTAAAAGTAAACGCGTTGAAATGAAATTCGAAACATTCTATAGAGGTTAAATTGATTATTTGCATCCACAAAGGCTATTTCCATAATTAAAACACTCATATAATCCAATTTCTCTCAAAAGCAAAATATCACGAGTCACATTACATCATCCTCGATCAAGCGAAACGGGGTAATCAGTTGAGGATTTTCAAACACACGTTACCACATTTCATCCCTCTGGGAGAGATCGAGAACGATTATTTAAACAAAGACGTGGATGTAGTGTATTGAAATTCGTTGTTGCACATTGAATAATGATTGGTCACGACATTTGCGCTAGAAACGGTGACATTTTCATAGAAATTTGTGAATATTGTAGATGATTACCTTCAAGCCTATGTTGCGAGACGCGAAGAAGTAAAACTCATGCGACAGAAAACAGGCGTTACTAATTTGACGTCTAATAACGCCTATGATTTTGTAGAGTTCTCGGTTGACATGGAAGAATCGTAAGATGATTTTTATTTACTACTAATTTCCAAATATCATTTTATTGACATTTCTCATATTAACAAAAGCATAATAGATATCAGTTTGACATATGGCAACCTGAGATCGTCCGTCCCCACCGATGTTGTTATAACTCAAAGATTTGAAGGTGAGTGTCACGACTTAACTAAGGGAATAGCTAGCATTATTAACATATTTTTTTATAGATATCGAGAATTCCGTAACTCGTAAGCGATTGAAGAAAATTGAAAAATATTTCTTGGATATGAGCTTGATAAGAGCGTTTAATGAATTGTTTGTGGACTTGTAAATATTTGATCGGCAGTTGAATATGCCATTCTTTGGTGGTTTGTACACTTTTCTCTGTTACCATTTTCCATGTGTGAGTAATAATACACAACTCTCATTTCATGATAACTGAAAATTGGGGTCGAATTGTATAGATTTTTTCTCTTTTTTTTTTTTTGATTTTTTTTGATTTTTCTTTTTTAAAAAAAAATACGTAATTGAACTAACAGGACCGAAAAAAAATCTAAATTGTCGAACCACAGATATGTATAATAATTTGTTAGACCTAAAATGAATGTGAAGATGTAAAATAAAATAATATATGTATATAAAAGGAAACAAGGCTAAAAAAGACGAGTAACGTAATAAAAAAAAGAAAATAATGAAAGTAGAACAGAATAGCAATATATACAGTAAAAATAGACAATTTTGTTGAACCCACAACTAATTATACATATAATCTGGTTAATCTACAAACTCTTGTAGTTTTAACTAATCTACATGATTGAAATACAAAGGGTGTGTGTGATATAGAATGTCAAAAAAAAAAATAAGGGTATTACAATTATCTATAAAGAAAGAAAAAAATTTTGTTTCGATCTCATCTTCAGAGCCATTGCGCTTCACGTTAATACATATAACTGTAACGCTACCATTGATACCATTTTTTATTTTTCTGGGCCAGCATGGCTTCTCTTGCTAATGCCGCAAAAGAATCAGCATTTGCTGCCAATTCAGTCACCTGCTCATTCACCATGCCAAGCTTTTCACCACGTTCATTTAAAGCGTCTCCAAGTTCAGCTATGGCTTCCTTCGTTCCATTTACGACCGGATTTTTATTAGGCGAAACAGAAGCGGTACTGTCATCGGTCTTCCCAAGTAATTCCTCGCGTTCGGAAACTTCGGGAACTTCACGGGTATCCTCAGAGTTTTGGTACATACGCTGATCTAGCTCATCGAATCCTTCTCGAATTCTTTCGACGAGCATTCGACCCATATCTGCAAATCTCAAACTAAAATTATTCTTTTTTCTATCTTCCGCTGTTTTTTCCTCTTTTGACTCCGCTTCATTCTCCGTAACAACCTCTGACTTAATCGTTTCTTCGATAGTTAACTCAGCATTTGAATCTGACCCTTCTGGTTGCGAGTCAGGTGACTTGTTCTGTGTAGCAGTAGCGGAATCTTCAGTGCTAGGAGGTGACGGTTCTTGATTTTTCGTCGATGGTTTTTTTATCTTATCGAAACCCAATTTTTTGAAGAAATTCTTCGACTCTGTATCGTTCTCCACGGTAACTTCTGATTTAGTTGCTTCTTCAATAGCCGGTCCAACATTTGAAGCTAATACCTCTGTTTTTGTCGTCGCGTCCGTAGCCGGAGCTTCGGAACTAGGTGGAGAATTAGAAGAGGGCTCTTGGTTTTTTGTCTGTGGTTTTTTTACCTTGTCGAAAGTAAATTTTTTAAAGAAATTTTTTGACTCCATATCGTTCTCTGTAGCAACTTCGGTAGCATTAACCTTAACCTTAGCTACTTCCTCGGTCGTTGTTTCGACACTTGAATCAGGTGACTTCGCCTGCGTTGTAGATACGTCTCTATCGGTGACTTCAGAACTGGGCAAAGGCGGCTCCTGATTTTTTGACACGGACGAAGTTTTTCTTATACCCAACTTTTTGAAAAAATTCTTTGACTCGGTATCATTTTGTGTAACCGTTTCGGTAGGATTAACCTTTGTTACTTCTTTTACTTCTTTAACTTCTTTAACTTCTTCAGTCGTTGGTTCAACATTCTGGTCAGGTGATCTTTCCTGCGATGCAGAAATATCGATTTCGGTGGTAGGCGATGAAGACGGATCTTGATTTTTTTTTTTCAAACCGAATTTCTTGAAAAAATTTTTTTGCGGTGCTTGCTGTTGTGAGCCAGGTGTTTGATTCTCTGCTGAAGCTTTTGTCGGTGAAATCGGAGAAGTGGGGATAGGCGGCACAGAAATGGTATTATCACCTTCGGGTACCACCAAAGTAAGAACTTTTATTCAAACACGAAAGTTATTAGCAAAACAGCGTAAGAAACGTGCGTGGTATCCAGTTCCTACTCACCTTCTTTCTTTTCTTGTGACTTGGTTTGTTCCGCTTTTGCGGAATCGTCAGAATACTTCTCTTCTGAAACATTTTCATTTCCTTTTGTTTCTAAAATTTCGGGTTGAACTGGAAGAGGTACTTCTTTCTTAACATCGGCTTCCGAATTGCTGTCTTTGCTATCTTTTTCGGTCACATTTTTGTTTTGGTCCTTTTCTTTCAGTGGGTTTTCCGGCATGTTGAGAGTAGGCAATACACCAGACTTTGGGTTTACCTGTATTTCTTTAATTTCAGTTTTAGTTGGCGATGTTTTTTTATCTGAACCGTCCAAACCGGTAATTTTATTCTCAGCTTGAGCGTTCATGCTATTGCAATCCAAATTACGTATTTAGTGTTAAAAGATCCAAACGAAATAAACTATAGAAATTTCTTCAAAATAGAGAAAAAGGAATACTAGGATGTGGCTGTAATTGGTTAAAATAGAGTGGATGAACGGGTAACAATAGCACAAACCAATTTGAGAGACATGGATTCGTAATACGTAAATGCAGATTAAACAATTTAATTTGTGTACAAAATTAACATGAATTTTTTTATTAACACTTATCATATTAGCATTCTAAATAATTTTCATTGTAAGTGTACACGCAAGATTGTTAATTAAATTAATACAAAGATATCAATTAGCACATGAGTCGTTTACGTGTTCGGGTGGACGTTTTATAGTACTTTATATATATATATCTACACATCTTTCCTTTTTTATCTTGTATTTCAGATACTACCGTGCCTATAGAGAAATCGATTCTTTAGTCAACTTCCTCCATTTTTGAAGCTTCGGCTGCGGCATTATCTACTACTGGGGCTTCCTCGGTTTCCATTGCCTCTGGTTCTTCCTCACCAATATCCAGACCAAGTTTAATCATCTTGAAAATCCTTCCGGCAAAGGACGATGGTTCTTCCAAGCTGAACCCAGATTGTAAGAGTGAAGTCTCAAAAAGAAGCCACGTGAGATCCTTGACGGTTTTATCATTCTTATCGACCTCAACTTTATTTTTGAGGGATTTGATGATAGGATGGTGTGGATTGATCTCCATGATTTTCTTTGAAGCCATGTAAGAAGCCATGCTAGAATCACGAAGAGCTTGAGCTTTCATGATACGTTCAAAGTTCGCGGACCAACCATATTGACCAGTCACGAGTACACATGGTGATTCAGATATACGGTTTGACACAAGAACCTACAATTAAAGGTTTCATTAGATTCGTATATTCAGACCCTCAAAGGAAATAAGCAGAGGACATGACTCCTTACCTTTTCAACCTTATCACCGAGAATTTCTTTAACTTGTTTACATAGATCCTCATATTGTTTCGCCTCTTCCTCTCGTTTCTTTTTCTCCTCTTCATCCTCGTCAAGTTCGAGGCCTTCCTTGGTAAT